TTTAGTATATAGAGGACATGGAGTATGGGGCATGAGTTGGCATGGAGTGGGCTGGAGGATCATGGATAAGAATTTTGGAAATTATTTTTCAGAATCTAGAGTATGGTTCATGAACCCTCTGAGATCTATGAATGGGGACAGGAATCAAGTCTTGGCAATTCCATAAAGATCCAAGTCATTGAATCAGAATGAGGTGAGGTTTATTGCAAATGCTCTCATGTACTATAGTCATAGTTTGAGAATGTAATTTGAGAATTTAATGAGGGATAGTTTCATCTTGGAGAAGGGGTGAAAACTTAATTGCAAGATGTCAAACAGGGACTTCTAAGAGAAATTGTCATAAATCTGTTTTAGCTCAGTGGCAGTACCATTTGTCTCCAAATCTCCAAGTTGTGGATTGAACCCTTGCTTCAAGACCTGAGCACATGATCTTGTATTTCATTGTAATCTTGGGGGAGTGTAGCATTGTTAGAGGTGTTGCATTTCAGGTAGAACATAAACCAAAGCCCTGTCTGCGTTTTCAGAATGTCAGAAATATTCAGTGCAATTATTTAAAGTAACATGCCTTGAGATGTGCAGCTGCGATTTGGTTAAACCTGGAGGATAGCACTTCTGTAGCCAAGGAAATGATTCAGTGCGCAATGTGCATATCATCTGTCACTTCCAGAGATTACTCTGGATCATTTTTTGGATTGCTTTTGGTATAATTTTATTTTCCCTTGTTTACTTTTTTTTGCAAAGTTGATGATTATGTACATGACATTTGTTTTTGGAATGAAAATTGTGTGTTTTGAATTCATCCATTTAAATTATATTTTGCTTAGTACTTTTGCCTTTTACATGCTAGGAAAAATAGAGTTAGATTCTTAACAGGCGCTCTTATAAATATTTTTCACAAGCATACATATACGCAAAGTATTATAGCCCAGCATTGAAACCAGACAGGTCCATGTGTTTGCACCAAATTTGTCCACCAAATTTTAATATAAACATATCTTTAATTCTATCCCTATTCAAAGATGTATTGCAGGAGAAACACAACATAACTTAACACAATCATTTTAATTATGAAAAATAATTCTTGGTCAGTTACCTGCAATATGGGAAGCTACTGTGTGAAATTACATGGAAATTGAAATTGGCTTAAGTTCAGTTGAGCAAACTGCAAGGAGTACCTTTGAAATAAGAGAATTTATTTTTAATTAAGGAGTTCCTTGTATTGTTGAGCTGTTTTGATTTGGATTGTACAAGAGGACGCATTACTGTTCATATTTCAGGTGTAGATTTGCTGTTTGTGTGGCTTCTCCATGAATATTCTATTCAGACAGTATAGCAGGGATCGTCATTGAGCTTTTCAACATGTATCATTCCAAGCAGATGTTCAACTGGGATAACAAGGTGTAGAGCTGGATGAACACAGCAGGCCAAGCAGCATCATAGGAGCAGGAAGGCTGACGCTTCGGGCCTAGACCCTTCATCAGAAAATCTGATGATCTGATCAGAAAATTTTCTGATGAAGGG